GAATGTTCAGTTTCTCAAGGTGTTCCCTTACCTGATCCACATCAATTTTGGGCCTGTTACCCACTCCCAAACTGGTTTGTGCTGTTCCTGGCAGTGTGATCCTTGTGGGAGGGTAGAAAACCAATGCAAAAAAGTCATTTTGGAGATTGGCCTTTTCTTGGGCATCTGATGTCAGTTGCCCTGTAGGATCTCTCAGGGGCCCAATACAATCCTTGTTCTTTTTCCTACTTCCCACATATCTAAAGAAGGACTTTTTGTTGTCCTTGATCCTCGTAGCTAGCCTAAGTTTGGTTTGTGCCTTGGCTTTTCTCGACCTCTCTCTGCAGGTGTGGGTGAGTGCAGAGTAATTCTCTTTAGTAATGCTTGCTGTTTTCCAGATGGTGTAGGCTATTCTTTGGAGCTTAATGAGGTCCAACAGTACCTTATTCAGCCACAGGGTCTTCCTTGCTCATTGACTGCATTTCTTGCGAGAAGAGATGGCTTTGACCTGTGCTTCAAGGATTATGTTTCTGAGCGATGACCATTCCTTATGTACTCCCTTTTCTGGGGGGTACAGCCTCTGACTGGCTGACTGTCCAATTCTCTCAGTTTACAAAAGTCAGCCTTCCCAAAGTTAAGGACTTCTATTTTACTGAGGGGTTTGCCTGCTCTTCAGTGAACTAAGAAGTGACCAATTCATGGTCACTGTCACCAAGCTTCCCCTCAATCCGCAGGTTGCTCACCAGGTCCTCCTCTTTGGCCAGGACCAGATCCAGCAATGTCTTTCCCCTATTCGGTCCATAGACCTCCTGGGTTAAGTAGAAGTCATCAATGCAAGTGAGAAAACTATGCCATCTGTCAGATTTGGCAATGCGCTCATCCCAAGAGATGTCAGGGAAGTTGAAGTTCCCCATGATGATCAAGCATTGGGAGCATGCAGCCTCAACTAGTTCCCTAATGAATTCCCGATCTAGGTCTTCCTTTTGGTGTGTGTGTGGGGGGTCATAATCTATAGTAGATTCCTACAAGTAAATCACCCTCCCCATGTTCTCCTCATATCTTGACCTTCCTGGTTTGGAAACTCAATCTGCAGGGAGGTGAGCCAATCTTTGACATGGAGAGCAACACCCCCACCCCTCTTCTCCACACAGTCTCTTCTATACAAGGTGTAACCCTCTGCTGCCACCAACCAATCATAGGTGGAGTCCCACCAGGTCTTCATAATTCCTACAAAGTCATAGTCATTATCATATAGGAGAAGGGCCCGTTCCTTATCCTTGTTTCCCAAGCTCTTGGCATTTGTATACAGGCAGTTAAGTCTGCCATGTGAAGCCCAATGATTCCCTGAGGGGTTAAGAGTGACCTTTCCTCAGGCTGTCACCAGAGTGGGATCCCATAGACTGCCCAAGTTATCACTAGAGTGGCTGACGTGACCTGGGCTAGAACTGTTAGCAGACTGCCTGTCCCCCAGTGGTCTCAGTTTAAAGCCCTGTCAAGAAGGTCAGCCATGCTGGCTGAGAAGAGATTCTTCCCCTTCCAGGTGAGGTGGAAGTCATACTTCCCTCTGCTCGCTCTGAAGTGGGGACTGTGGTCAAGGAAGCAAAACCCCTCGTGATGGCACCATTGCTGGAGTCTTCTATTCACCTCATTGATGCACCTCTGGAGCCCATGTCCTGTGACAGGGAGGATTGAAGATAAAACTATCTGTGACTCCAGGCCCTTGAGCCCAGCTCCCAGAGCCCTGTAGACTTCTCCATGCCATTGCATTGGTGCACACATGGATGAGGAACATGGCATGGTGGTCAGAGGAACATGGCATGGTGGTATAATCCTCTTTGTCATATCCTGGACATGAGCTTCAGGAAGGCAGTAGACCTCATGGGCCAGGGGGTCAGGGCAACAGATCACTCCCTCAGTCCCCCTAAGGAGGGAGTCATCCAACACAATAACTCTGTGCCTTCTTCTAATCACAGGTGCTGGTGGCCCTGCATCCTCACATGCTGGAGCCGGTGGAAAGGCTGGCTCCATTGATGCGAGAGGTACAAAGCAGTTATGCAGCTCCAGGGGAGTGGTAGCCCTGGTGCTGCACCTCTTTGGGCCAGAGACAACAGTCATCCATGCACCCCTAGGCTGGACATCATGGTGGTTTCTAGGTTCTGCCGCTGTCATGAGCCATTGGGTGGAGAGCCTGAAAGTAAGAGTCCAGCTCCCGCTCTGCATCCCTAATGGAATGCAGCTACTGGATTGTTGCCTGGAGTTCCCTAATCTGGCACTCCAGGGCCTCCACCACTGAGCACACCCCACAAGGGGGGGTATCAGTGCCCCCAAGCCCAGCTTCCAACAGTCTTGCTAGGCAGTCTCCACAAGAAGCTGGGGGCTCTGTCTGAGTGGAGGCCTGGGCCAAGGGTCCCACCCAGGAGGGGGCAGGGACCACAGACTCTGTCTGGGTATAGGCCAGAACCATGCTCTCCATTTGGGTGGAGACCCCAGTGGTGACAGAGCAGGGGAGTCCAGGTGCAGGGGGGAGCCTCAGGGAGTGACATGTCCCACCCACCATGGTCCTTGTAGTAATCTAGCCACTACCGTGTAGACCCTTGGCTACAGCTCAGTGCCTGGAGGCTTTGGCCCTCCTGCTTTCCCTCCTGTGCAAACTCCCATACTAATTCATGTTCTGGGAAGACAAGCATTCCTGTTTGTGTGTGCTGTTCACGTGTCCTGTTTGTGTGGCTCCCTGGGGGGCTGGGCAGAGTAGGAGCCAGCGTGGGGTGAGACCCTACTGCACACATGCATACTGCTGGCCCTGCACTGCTCCTGGGCTAGGGGGAACCCTACCCAGGATTTGGAGGACCCTGCCCCACTGGAGAGGGACTGGTAAGTGTCCTCTCCCCCCCCCCACCTCTCTCTCCCAGGGGGGCTGGGCCAAGTAGGAGCTGGGGTGGGGCAAGACCCTCCTCGACTCCTCTCAGCTGCCTCCCCACAGCTGTGCTAGTCCCCTCCCACCATGGGCCCCGCTTACCACTGACTGTGCTGGGGGTCAGTCAGGGGTGCTCCATGGCTGCTGGGGGGCTTCAGAGTACAGGGATGCGATGGCCTTACACCCGTGCATCTCTCACACCAGAGACCAATTGCAAGGAATTCTTATCCTCTGTTTCACGGAACTAATTTACACATAATTTGTGCATCTTTCATAGACTGCTAAGTATAAGGAACACATTAGAGGCCTTTATATAAGTACCTCCAATGGGGTGTGTGAGGGTGTGTGTTTGTGTGTGTGTGTGTTTGTGTGAAAAGGAATTTTATGTTGCCACTGAAAGTAATGATAGACTTGCAAGACTACATTTCATTTTTTTATGAATTAAGCAGGAGAATCCTGTTTTTTTGCTTGACCACAGCAACAAACAAAAAGTATTTGGAACCATTTACTGTAAGGAATGGCACCCAGTGTCAAAGTTTGCAATCCAACAAAAGACAATTGTAGCTAAACTTCTGTTAAAAAAATGTGGAACTAAGGCCTGATAATCTTATTACCTCTGAGCATCTGGATGAAATTCCTTCTGAAGTCTTTACCTAGCTGTCAGGTGTCAGTTGCTCTATAAAGGTGCATTTCTAACTTGTTCTCTAACCCCTTTTTTAACATGCACTTAATCAATGTGTAGACTGATACATATCAACAATGACTGTAGTATCCATAATATCTGTGATTGGGAATATGGGGAGGATCTGAGGAACCAAAGAACTGGGAAATTAAGAATCCAGAAGCCAGCAAGTATGCAGTGATTTCGGGTCCTGCCTATAGCCTTCCTCCAAGGCATGAATATTTTTTGTATTCCCATTTCCTGAACAGAAAGCTAGTTAACCTTTTTGTGTAGTACTCTAATAAAGTTACTGTCCTGAGAATACAGGTGTGCTCTCTCTATATTCCTGGACCTGTCTGAAAAATGTAAGCCTATTTTTTCTACTTTGGAGATAAAGGGCTTCTTTTCACTAAGCTGCTGTCATTTAACTTCCATTTACCACAGCATAAGAGCAACCATGCAGGCAATTACTGTGGAATAACCAATGAGTCGTAAATCCCAATCCTTTTTTACCCACATACCTGTCCCCATATAATAACATTCAGTTATTTCAAGTTTACCAGATAACTGAAGAATTTATAATCACATCATGCCACAAAATGCCATGCTTATCTTTTTGTACTCTTTCCTTTAACTTCTTTTTCTTATTGTAATGAAAGTATTCAGAAAGCATAATTCATTATCCATTCAGTTGTGAATTAACAATTGTTATATTAGTTCATTAGATATTTATCTAACTATTCAAACTGTCTGCATTTGTTAACTTTCAAAATATAACAGTTTATAATTATTATTAACACTTAATAATGACAACAGTGGTAATAATAATTATGATATTAATAACAGCATGTTCATTTTGTACTATATGTAGTGTATCAAAATTATAAACTACTTCTTGGCCTAGTCCTCCTGACAAAGAATGTCAGGAAAGAATCTTATAAGGAGCAGAGTTTCCTCTCTGGTTCATCAGGAGATGCAGTGCCTTGATGGCAGCTATTTATATTTTCCCATTTTATTGAAGACTAGTCTTATTGATTAATGAGACTAGTTTTATTGATTAAAATAATAAAATTAAATAATGTGACAGCATTGAGAGTCATAGCCTACTGATTTGCTGTAGTCATTTATTTTGATAGCCAGGTTTGCTATATGGAAAAAGTGTATAGGAACACTGAAACTGCTGTATCAGATCAAACCAGTAGAATCTCTAATCCAAGATACTATCTGATAACATCCTGTACTGGTAGTTTGGAGGAAAGTGCAGGAATCCCAACAGTCACATAATGGACAAATTTGGAATAACCTGCTCATGAGGTGAGTCTTATTCTAATCCCTGTCAATTAGAGATTAGTTTAGGTTCTGAATAATCAGGATCTTTATGCCTTTTTTTTCCTATTTGATTTACCTCTAGGCTTACCTATAAAGGTTTCCCTCGCTTTATGCTGTACATGTGTTCTTGGAAAATGGTGCATAACTCGAATTCGCATAAAGGGAACTCACTTTACAATCGAACAAATAGAGATACATTCCAAAACTTTGACTGTACTCACCCCGAGACTCATTTCTACCACTTTTACAGGACAATTTTGGTACTCAGTGACAGCAGACAATACACAAAAGCACAGGGTGGTGGTGAATGTTACCAGAATGGGGATGGCAACTACAGAAACATGTTGCAGACAATGAGTGAGGAGCAGAGATCCACACAGGAGACTATATTTTGGTACACATCACTCACACAATGCACCACACAGAGCATCTGACTGTGGGCTTCTATCACACCGATCACATAAGAGTGAATTTACCCCTCATATAATGCATTTTTGGTATAAAAAGGGTCATTGAATAAGAGCAAATCTGCACGTACTGAATCCACATAAAGCGAAGGACACGTGTCTAAACTTTGAATCCTGTCAATCTCTTGGACTCCATGATAAAGTGTACCGGTGAGTTTCACATGTTAGTATATTGTATGTTACAGCTGATAATCTGTTTTGAATAAGTTGTCTTTCAATACCACTGGATGCTTCTTTGTCCTTTTATTCTGTAAAAGAGTAATAGAATGGACTGGCTTAACTTATTCCAAGCATTCATTTATTTTTAAACCTCTATCTCCCACCAACTCGTCTCCACTCCACCCTAAAAAAAATCCAATCTTCTTGTTCTTTCATAATGATATTTCCATGAAGGGTGGTACCCAAAAGCTCACTTACATCCCTCCCAAATATACAGTTTGTCCAATAAAAACTATCACCCACAAACATCCATGCCTTTGTAATCATTTTTGTCACCCTGAAATTATCTACATTTGTTATCTGAAATTTCTACATTTTATCCAATGACTGCTTAATGTAAAATGCCTAAGAACTTCAGAAGCAGTAACCAAAATGCAGATTTACCTCCCCCATGTGAGTGCTCTACCCACTATAATATAATTTCATGCTTATTCTTGTTTTCTTTTTTGCATCCCAATGAATTTCAATTTTTTTTCTTCAAAGTGGAACAGCTTCAAGAGGAAAGTTCCAGAGTGATCTCACCTTAATAAGACTCTCTCCTTGATGTTACATGGCTCTCTAATGAGGTAAGAGAATTGGGTTTGAATGCTGTCCAGCAGAGGAGGGAAATTAACTGAGGTGTAGTAAGGTGGAAGGCAATACTACTATCACTTCCTCCTCCTCCCAGCTGTGCTTCTGAACAACAGCGGTGGATGCTGCTGTGTTTTGTAGAGACTTATCTATTCATTTCTGAAAGACGAAGAAGTTCTGTGCACAAAACAAAAGCAGAATTTCAGTTGCCTGAGAAATTTTACTGGTAAAAAACAAGGTCCACATTTTTAAGGAGCTGTTAGAGAGACTACAGCCTTGGATATAAGGGGTGTGTCCCCATGAGCATGAATGTTTTGTTTGCGGCACCTCAAAGCAGTTTGAGGTGCTACAAACTGCACATGGCACAAATGCACCCATTCACCTTGCTGCTAATTAGCAGTGTGGCAGGTTTTTTTTGATACTGGGAGATCCTGATGGAAAAAAAACCCCCATCACTGAATAAAGCAGTACAGCACATGTGGCAGCTGCCAGCCAGGCTCTGAGCAGCCAGATTGCTGCCACTGCTGCCACAGTAGGCCCCCAGGATCCTATGGAAGGCTGCTGGGGCCAGCACCAGTGTTGGCCCAGCCTCCCCTATCCCACTTGGGATAATTTACACCATACTTACCCCACATGCATGGGCATGTGCAGCAGCAAAATACAATGGAACAAATTTGTGTCGCCGCTATTTTTGCCATGGCAACCACATCCCACAGTAAGTATCTTAATCTTTTTTTTTTTTTTTTTTTTGTGGATCTGGTTTTTAGGCATAAATCTAGTAGTCAAAGTGAAGTCAAAGCATCAGTTCATATGATAGTACTATATTTTCAGTATTTTCTATTCTATACATATCCTAACATTTTGTAGACTTTTTGAACCACTGCTGCACAATGAGCAGTTGCTTGCTTTCTGCTGTCCACATGAGGCCTGGCTAGCTTTAATGAAATAGGTAGATTTACTTTAGAAACCAGAGATGTGTAGGAGTAATTCAAACTATATTTCTTGCACTGAGAATTACCTTACCTTTGTCAGCATTACATTTCACCTACCATTGTTCATTTGTCTAGGTTTGTTACAACCCTCTGGAGCTCCTCAATCTACTCCTATCATAAATAATCTCATTTGCTATTTCATCCATTTTCCAGCTCTTCAAGGAACTAAGTTTGTTAAACCACATGGGTTCTGCTTCCATTTTTTACAGCACCCCACTGATATCATTTTGCCGGGTTCAAAGCTGACCACTTTTTCTTGACTTTGTTTTTTGTATTTTATCCAGTTTCTGATCCACAATTGAATTTTATCTCTGTGCATATGACTGCTTAGTTTAATGGCCTCTTGTGAAACAGTCTGCCAAAAACTCAGTGGAAGCCCAGATACATTTTTATCCTTTATTCATCTTTGCAAGTTTACTAACAGCCACAGGGAATTTTAATAGATTAAAGAGACATACCTTTTTTCTCTTGACAAAAGTCTGCATGTGTATAATTTCATAATCATCTGTTTTATCATTTGATTTTAAATTATTTCAACCAATCTTTGGGTTTCTTGAGGGTTTGCACTTCCTGAGATCACTTCTTCTAGGTGTAGGTAAAATATTTGCTGACTTCTAGACCTATGATAGAACAGCTGAGTTTAATGAGAGCTTGTTATTTTTGTTAGCAGTTCAGGCAGTTTATTCTCTCTTCCTTCTGTACAGTTGGATGCATCTTGGGGAGTAGTTGCTGTTTAAGTTATCATTTTGTTGCAGCACCTGTGCTTTTGATACTTCAGTCACTAACACTGCCTCATCTTTATTACCTGACAAACTAATACTCAATTTACTTTTCAGGAACTAAATATAAACATTTCAAGCAAGTGCACTTAATACCAATTTATTTATCAAGTGGTATTATCTCCCTACTTATTTAGGAAACAAATGAATATCCCCTTGTTTCTCATTCTTCCAACCTATAGAAGTACATACCCCTTATGGCTCAATTAATCTAATGTTGTATTTACAGTGAATTAATACCAAATGAAGTGTTAACATTATAAAATACCTGCTTTTTCCATTCACTAAAAACAATCTTTTTGCTCCAGAATTCAGTATTATATCTCTATGTAAGCAGCTAACCTAGAGAAAAGTGTCTTTAAAAAAATTGACATTTTGTTCCTACCCACAGGTGAAATTAGATAGAAAAAGGCGAAGCAACTTTCACATTTCTATTGGAACCAATTCATGAACCCAATTACTGGAATGCCAGTACATATCTACCTTTGGAAATATTTCTTGTCACGTAGTGAATATTTTATAACATCCAGGCAGAACAGCATATGCATATTTATTTGAAGATGGCTTAGGAGGAATATATCCTATTGAATGTTATATTAATTTATACAGTAATTATGCTGTTGTATACCAGTAGAAGTAAAGTGTACCTGTCAGAATGAAGACAGAATCGAGTTTTAGATAGGACAAATCCTTCTTGTTAAGGGTTCAGGCTTCTTAAGCAGTAACCTGCTAAACCATTTAATAATTTGTGAATGATTCATCACTTCTGCCATCCAGGGTATACTGCATCAGTAACATCACCAGTAAGATCTACAGATTAATTTAAATGACTTGTTCTTTGGAAATGATACTGGTGAAAGATGCTTGGAAGTGCCCCAAAAACTTGTTGTATTAGGACTAAAGTATCTTAGAAAAATTCATTACAATAACTACAAATTTCTAATTATTAAACTAGTAAAGCATTACTATATAACAAGCAAATTAATGTTCAATTATCTGTTCCTGATGAGACAATGATGTTACCAATAATATATTCTGTAGGAGTGAAAGTCATTCTTAAGAGGAAATATATACATATGAGTAGGATTTTTTTCCTCCACTGAATTATAGGAATCTCCTTGGTATGGGAAACAGATTTTAGGGGCAACTTTTATGCATTGTACTGTACAACATTTTATTGGAATTCAAGTAGTTTTCATATAGTTTTACCTTTAACAGATATTATTGGGTATATTTAATATACTGTCTTCAGTAGTGGGTCTCCACCTTTTTAGACTCAAGGCACTGCTTGTTAGACCTCGGGAACTGCCAGCTCTTAGCTTTCACTCATTTATTAACTATGGAGAAATAATAGAAAAATTGTTCTGTTACAATGAACTCAGACCACAACAGGCCAGAATGTTTTGGACACTATGGATTACCATTTGAAATCTCTGGGTTTATTTTGTAAATCATGTGTAGCTGTTTGCATACCTAACGGTGCTAATATTGTACATTGGCCTTAAAAAAGATCTTGTGACACCCTAGTTTAGAATCATTGTTATAGAGCAGGGATTGACAATGTTTTTGGGCAGAGTGCCCAGAACACCCCATCCTTACCTTGGAAAATGTTGGGGTGGTTCAGCAAACAGCAGGGGAGCCACAAGGGGCCTAATCCTTGTTGTGGCAGCACAGCCCTGGCCCCTTCCCTGCCATTTGCCCAGAGGCAGCAGTGAGCCAGGCCAGGGATCTTCACACCTCAGTGAAATGGCTTTCAGCCTCCTTACCACCTGCTGTGGGTGCCTGGGCTGGCTGTGGTTGTGGCAGGCTGGCACAACAAGGATTGGGCCCCTCACACCTCCCCTGCCATCTTCCCCAAGGTACACACGCACCCACTGTAGTAGAAACCCCTCTTTGTACATTTCCGTTCTAGACATGGATATAACAGAAGCCCCTTCTTGCCTACACCCCCCTCCCCATTTTGTGCATTTCTTTTCCTTCTCAGTATTGGCAGAGACCTAACACACTCATTGCATAGGTGTGGCAAGACTCAGAGCAAGCCAGAAAGCTGAAGTGGCTTTCTGTAGGAGAAACTTAGAAACTACATCTACATATCAATTAATCTCAGTGTCACTAAAGAAAACAAAAGAACTAAAATATCCACTGCAAAGACTGTAAATATATTCTGTGGTAACCCAACTCACTCAGTGTCCCCAGTAGCCTTTGATCCTCATTACCTTACATTGCACGTTTTATATTTCTCACAGTGCATGTTCATATTTCATCCATCTCATCTTTACCATGGCATTTTGTATTTTATATGTTATAATTTTAAACTCTTAAGGAATGTACTCTTTGTAGAATGAAGTTGCACCCTGGGCCATTGTTAAAACTGCATTGAAATTGTAATTGTAAAGTGATAAAATCTGTTGAGTGAATGCAAGTGAATTATGATCATCAGTAGACAAAAGCCTAGCCAAAGGAACTCCATTTTAAGCTAATCAAGCTAAAAAAACTGATTCCTGGAACTTGAGCACTCACCCTATGGACTATTCCTGTAATCCATGACAATACAACCATTAAGTCAATAAGTCAAGGGTCTGGCACATGTGCCGGGGGTTGCCGACCCCTGGTCTAGAGTTTTGTTTTCTAAAGTGTTATTTTTTACAACCAAAAGTAGTTTATTCATTTTGACAAAAACATTTAGAGTTTCAAAAGAAAAAAAAAAGACACTGCATATTTCAGTTAAGCCTAGAATTTAACTTCTGGTAAAACATGGGGTTTTTTGTTTTCATCTCTGCAAGTGGGAAACCTTGGTTTTCCACTCTTGTGGAAATATCCAAGGCATATCTCTGTAAGCATGGAACACATCACCCAATGCAGTGGATAAACTGGGGCAGGACACAGCCCACCACAGCTGATCCACTTCATTTGAGAACTTCTGTTTATACCCTACATGTTAGGTGAGTCCATGTCCTCAATAAAGATGTTTAATGACAGTAGGGATTTGTATCAACTGAAGTCTGAGATCTTTAACAAGGGTTTGTTTGCTCATTTATCAATACATGAGCAAACAAGCCCTCTGACCCTATCAAGCAAAGCACTTAAACACATGCTAATTCTAAGCACTTGAATAGACTCACTAGTGTCATTTTTTTTTAGGCTTATCATTTGCTTTTACCGTGTTCATGGCACTGCACAGATATTCATTAATTAATCCAGACTACAGCCCTGTTTGTCTCCATTTTTCAGATAGGGAACATTAGGTGAAAAGAAAAAGGTGGTGTTCAGTATCTTAAGGAGAGATGTATGGGGGGCTTAATGTGCATTGGCCCAATAACACTGTGCAGTAGCACAGTGCTTATTAACCATGCAAATAGCCTCCTGCACAGTGTTACTAAGATAATGCACAGTAAGCATTATTAAAAAAACATGCGCTGGTGCTACTGCACAGTAACTCTAGTTATTGCGCATTCAGTTAGCACCTCATTAAAGGCACTAAACTAAATGCGCTGTATCTAAGGTACGTTAATGAATGTATAGATGTGCCCAACTCAATGAATGTATAGATACACTCAATTCAATAATGTAGAATTACATTATTAAAGCCTCACGCAGCTGAAGTTTCAACTTTGCCTTGTAATTTGAATGCAATGAATTTCTTCTATTTTTTCTGTTAATACAGATGAACAAAGGCACATGTTTTTTCTCTACATTTGCTAGTGATATTTAAAAATTACAAGGATAAACTCAATGTTTCATAGTTTCATAGTCAGCAGGGTCAGAAGGGACCTGAGCAGATCATCAAATCTGACCCACTGCCATGGCAGGAAAGAGTACTGGGGTCAAACGACCACAGCAAGGTGATTGTCAAGCCTTGTCTTAAAGACCCCCAGGGTAGGAGCCAGCCCCACTTTGCTTGGAAGTTGGTTCCAGATCCTAGCTGCCCTGACAGTGAAGTAGCACCTCCTGATGTCTAATCTGAATTTACCCTCTGCCAGCTTGTGACCACTTTTTCTAGTCAATCCCGGTAGTGCCCGGGGGAACAGGGACTCCCCCAGTGCCTGCTGGTCCCCTCTGACTAGTTTGTAACAGGCCACTAGATCCCCCCTCAGCCTTCTCTTGTGGAGGCTGAACAGGTTCAGGGTCCCAGAGCCTCTCCTCGTAGGGCCTGCCTTGCTGCCCCCTGATCATGCGAGCAGCCCTCCTCTGGATCCTCTCCATGTTGTCCACATCCCTCCTGAAGTGCGGCACCCAGAACTGGATGCAGTACTCCAGCTGTGGCCTGACCAGTGCCACATAGAGGGGGAGTATCGCCGCCTTGGACCTGCTTGAGATTCATCTGTGGATGCATGACAAGGTGCGGTTGGCCTTCCTGACTGAATCCCCACACTGCCGGCCCATGTTCATCTTTGCATCGATGATGACTCCCAGATCCTTTTCTGCCTCTGCACTGATGAGAAGGGAGTTCCCCAGCCTGTAGGTTTGGTGCTGGTTCTTCCTCCCCAGGTGAATCACCTTGCACTTGTTAGTGTTGAATCCCATCCTATTCTTGTCCGCCCACCCCTGTAACCTGTGTAGAACTCATTCATTTTTTAACTTAAATTATTTACTTTAAATATATTAATCCCTTGGAAGAATAGCTTCAACAGTAACAATAGCCCATGGTTTCTGATTAAATAACTGAAAACACAATATTCATGCAAATTATGTCTTTTAGTTAGTTTATGATTTTCTTAATTGGTACTTTTTTTTCCAAAGACCCTGCCCACTGACCTCTGCATAATAACCTAAAACTCCTTTCTGTTGATTAAAAGCTTTTACAAAAATAAGGAGAATTTTTACGAAACCAGAGTCTGAAATGTAATAATGCAACAAGTAGAGCTTTGTTTCTGAAGGCCAAACTTGTTTAAGAACAGATAATTGAGATAAACTACATTAGAATGCATTTTTCACCCTGTGTTCAGTTTCAC